ACCAAATAAATACTGAATAACTGAACCTTATAAATTGTATATCTTAAATGTTTCTCACAATTATATCACATAAATGTTAAACCTAAAACCCAATCTAACTTTATTATTTTTTAAATACACTACCTAACAGAATACTCCATATGACTGAATGTACAACAATGCATGCAACCATATGACCTGTCTTTGTAATACTCACTTGTGCTTTATAGTAATCTGTTTACATTAATGTTTTATCACTGATTTCATCATTGCTTAGTTAATCTTAAGTTAATTTTAAGCCAGCCCGTAATGCTATGCATAGTATAAGTGGCTTTGGCATGCTGCTCTTATCTGTATTTTTTTGTACCTCTGTATGTGTGCTCAAATTGATAATAAATAAATAAATAAATAAATAAAGTGATTGACCTGAGTGTGAAAAAATACCTCCAGGAAAATAAACTGCCACTCAAGTACCTCCTGGTAATGGACATTGCTCCTGCTCATCCTCCAAACTTGGTAGACCAATTGTCTAGGGATTCAGTTTTATATAACTGAAATTCTTGCCTCCTAACACCACTCCTCTCATCCAGCCCATAGACCAGCAGGTCTTGTCTAACTTCAAAAAAACTCTACACAAAAGCACCCTAAGAGAGTTCTGGAGGAATCACTTCAATATCTTAACTGCATAAGCCTTATAGGTAAGGCTTGGCAGGGAGTGACTTCCAGGACTTTGAACTCTTCTTGGAGAAAATTGTGGCCAGAATGTGTCATTGAGAAGGATTTTGAAGGGTTTGAGGCTGACCCTGATGACCCTATGCCTATTGTGGAATCTATTGTGTCTTTGGGGAGGTCCATGGGGTTGGAGGTGAGTGGTGAGGATGTGGAAGAGTTGGTGGAGGACCACAGAGAAGAGTTAACCACTGAAGAGCTGCAAGACCTTCAACTGGAACAGCAACAGACCACAGCTGAGGCTTCAGAGGAAGAGGAAGAGAGAGAGAAGGAGGTGCCTTCTTCAGAGATTAAGGAGATTTGTGCATTGTGGAGTAGGGTGCAAGCTTTTGCTGAGAAATATCACCCTGACCAAGCTGAAACAAGCCCTATCTGCAACATGCTCAGTGACAAAACCCTGGCCCACTTCAGGCAAATCTTAAAGTGGCACCAGAAACAGACCTCTCTGGACATTTTTTTTTTTGTGCGACAAGGGTCCAGGGACTCTCCATACACCAACAAAAGTCTTCAATACAGGTATGTAATAATGATTTAAATGTTCATTTATATGTAACTGTCATTGTTTTGTGTATGTAAAACTATAGTTAAACTTTACAAAATATATTTTTTATTATTATTTTTGGGTGTCTGGAATGGATTAATTGTATTTACATTAATTCTTACGGGAACTACTGCTTTGAATATAGGCCTTTTCGAATTTAGGCTGACCTTCTGGAGCGGATTACAGCCGATATTTGGGGTTCCACTTTAATTTAAAAGGAACCCTTTGAAAATATAACATCACACATCATAATACTCTCTTTGGAGAAAGTCTTGCCTAACTGGCCAATTATATTAATGCCCTGCTTTATTATAATACGTGTAAATTCTGTTTACTAATGTGCTGCCCATTTTGAATGAGTCACTTTAAGAGATCTTTTTCAGCCAAAACGTGAAGAGAGAATGTATTCCAATAAAAATTTCAATAAAAATATGGCAAGTAATGTGTGAAATTTAAGCTTGGAATATCATCACAGTTGAATCATAAAGAATACAAGAAGTTAATTTGTATAGATATTTAAGAAGTGCAACAATTCCTCACCTTTATCCCTTGTGGGTTAAGTGCTTGGTTTGTATTATAATAAAAACCAAACACTTGGAAAAGGCATATGACAGGGTGGATAGGGGGGCAATGTGGCAGATGTTGCAAATGTATGGAATAGAAGGTAGGTTATTGAAAGCAGTGAAAAGCTTTTACGAGGATAGTGAGGCTCAGGTTAGAGTATGTAGGAGAGAGGGAGATTATTTCCCAGTAAAAGTGGGCCTTAGAAAAGGATGTGTGATGTCACCATGGTTGTTCAATATATTTATAGATGGGGGTTGTAAGAGAAGTGAATGCTAGGGTGTTGGCAAGAGGTGTGGGGTTAAAAGATAAAGAATCTAACACAAAGTGGGAGTTAATAGTAAGTTTATTCAGGTATACACAAATACAGTTACATAGATTATCATACATAGCAGCATATGTGTAAAGAACCTAGGATAACCCAAAAAAGTCAAAGTGACTTATTTCCATTGGGATCCTTTTAATATCTTATTATTATGCTATGAAGGAGATAATATCTTATTATTATACTATAAAGGATATATACTAGGAATAAGGCAAAAGGAGTTATTTAAATTAACGTGTGTTACCTGGGGGGAGTTTACCTGGGGAGAGTTCCGGGGGTCAATGCCCCCACGGCCCGGTCTGTGACCAGGCCTCCTGGTGGATCAGAGCCTGATCAACCAGGCTGTTGCTGCTGGCTGCACGCAAACCAATGTACGAGCCACAGCCCGGCTGATCAGGAACTGACTTTTTAGCTAAAAAACAATAAAAAATCATTCTCCTCCCTTTCTGTCGCTACATTCATTAGGTACCTTTTGGCTCTCTTCTTGAACTGGCTCATGCTATGACTGGCTTTGACATGTGCAGGCAGTCTGTTCCATTCCTGTATTGCTGTACAATAAAAGTTGTTTGAAGCCTGGCCACTGACTGTGGGTACTACAAAGGTGTGCTCTCTCCCCCTGGTACTATGATTGCTTTGGTTCCCAGCCTTGACAAAATTGGCAGCAAGATACAGTGGACCTCCGACTTATGATGGTCTCAACCTACGATAAAACCGACTTACGATGCTTCTAGTGCCAACCCTGTGGTAAAAAGGGTGAGAAATACTATAGAAATACTATAGTACCACAGTCAGCTGCTGTTGTACCATGGTCAGCTGCTGCTGCTGCTGTGCCACCATCAGCTGCTGCTGCACCACGGTCAGCTGTACTACTGAAAGATGTGGAAAGACTGTTGTTGGTGTGGCTTATCGAGAATAACAAGAAACAATTAACCCCAGAGGGTTAGCCACCAGGATAAATTAAGAAAGTCAGTGTGTCATCGAGGACTGTTTAACTTATTTCCATTGGGGTCTTAATCTTGTCCCCCAGGATGCGACCCACACCAGTCGACTAACACCCAGGTGAACAGGAAAAAATGCCTGGAACTAGTGCTCACACTAGTGAATTTAAGGCCAGCAAAGGTTGGTTTGAGAGATTTAAGAATCGTAGTGGCATACACAGTTTGATAAGGCCTGTTCTGCAAGAAAATGCCAAACAGGACCTACATTACTCAGGAGGAAAAGACACTCCCAGAACACAAACAGTGTCTCATCACTCATCACCACATCTTCAATAAAAGTAAGTGTCATTTATTCTTCATTTAGTACACTAGTACATGCACAATATATATTGTGCATGTATCCTTCTTTTTGTGTTTACCTGGAGTTTACCTGGAGAGAGTTCCGGGGGTCAACGCCCCCGCGGCCCAGTCTGTGACCAGGCCTCATGGTGGACCAGAGCCTGATCAACCAGGCTGTTACTGCTGGCTGCACGCAATCCAACGTACGAGCCACAGCTCGGCTGGTCAGGTACCGACTTTAGGTGCTTGTCCAGTGCCTGCTTGTAGGAAAATGTATATTTCATGTGGTAAAAAAAAAAATTCATACTTTTGGGTGTCTTGAGCGGATTAATTTGATTTCCATTATTTCTTATGGGGAAAATTAATTCGACTTACGATAATTTCGTCTTACAATGTGCTCTCTGGAACGGATTAATATCTTAAGTCGGGGGTCCACTGTATTCCGGACACTGTGAGGAATTTTATAAACTTGATTTAACTTCATTTGTTTTACTCTGTCTTCAACATTCAGCATATCCAGTTGTCACAGTTGCTCTTTGCTGATGCCACTGTGCTTCTGGGAGATTCTGAAGAGAAGCTGCAGAGGTTGGTGGATGAGTTTGGTAGGGTATGTAAAAGAAGGTAATTAAAAGTGAATATAGGAAAGAGCAAGGTGATGAGGATAACAAAAAATTAGGTAACAAAAGACTGGATATCAGATTGGAAAGAGAGAGTATGGAGGAGGTGAATGTATCCAGATATTTAGAATATTTACTAGCAGATGGGTCTATGAAAGATGAGGTGAATCACAGAATTAACAAGGGGAAAAAGGTGAGTGGTGCACTGAGGAGTGGTGCACTGTGGAGACAAAGAACTTTGTCCGGAAATGAAGATGGGAATGTATGAGAGTATAGTTATATCAATGCTCTTATATGGGTGCAAAGCATGGGTGGTGAATGTTGCAACAAGGAGAAGGCTGGAGGCAGTGGAGATGTCGTGTCTGAGGGCAATGTGTGATGTGAATATAATGCAGAGAATTCGTAGTTTGGAAATTAGAAGGAAATGCAGGATTTCCAAAACTATTATTCCGAGTGCTGAGGAGGGGTGGTTGAGGTGGTTAGAACATGTAGAGAGGATGGAACAAAAGAGAATGACTTCAAGAGTGTATAACTCTGTTGTGGGGGAAGGCAGGGTAGAGGTCTGCCTAGGAAAGGTTGGAGGGAGGGGGTAAAGGAGGTTTTGTGTGCAAGGGGTTTGGACTTCCAGCAAGCATGCACTAGCATGTTAGATAGGAACAAATGGAGGCAAATGGTTTTTAGGGCTTGACTTGCTGTTGGAGTGTGAGCGGGGTAATATTTATGAAGGGATTCAGGAAAACCGGCAGGCCGAACTTGAGTCCTGGAGATGGGAAGTGCAGTGCCTGCACTCTGAAGGAGGGGTGTTAATGTTGCAGTTTCATAACTGTAGTGTAAGTGCACCTCTGGCAAGACAGTGATGGAGTGAATGATGGCAAATTTTTTTGTCTTTTTTGGGCCACCCTACCTTGGTGGGAAATGGCTGATGTGTTAATAAAACAAAAAACAAAAATAAAAAAAATAATAATCCTCACCTTCATTCGCTCAATGTTGCCCACCATCGCAGCCAGAAGAAATTCTCTTTCATTTACTTTCCGTTCCCTGTTCATGTCCCAGCAAGCAGCCACCATTACTGCTAAGGAAACTGGTGCAGATCCATCTATTCCTGCATTCTTCCATTTAAACTTTTTCCTATTTATTTCTCCCAGAACTTTTAAAAAATTAATGAAATATTGAGATCCTAAACAACATGTTCTTAGAGTGAATGAATTAGTTGTAATGTCACTAGCAAAGGAGAGAATATGGTCCTTTTAAGATAGACTTCCTTATAACACCAAGGTAACCTTTTTATGTTTAGGTTGGTTAGTCTTTGTACATGACTGTGATGGAAACTTAAAATTCTGGTGACACTTGCTATTTTTTCTAAAAACATGGTGTCAAGTGTTCTCAGAGAAGACTTCCTTTTTATATGGTACAGTATGCTTCAAGATTTTTCCTTCCTCCTGAAAGCAGATGAAAATAAGACATAAAATTAAATCAAATCTGCAAAATTGTCAACAACTTGTGTACAGAGTAACTTGCCTTAAATTTTGATAATGTTGGGAAACAAAATCAGCTTGATACTAAATGAATATTATTTTGCAGTAACCACTGTATGTAGCCAGATATCATCACCTATATAGCTGCAGAAGACTGGATTAAATTATTTAACCATGTAACAGCTAGCCTTTAAAGCTAATGAATCCCTAATTATTACAACCTTAACCACACAATACCCAATAAGCAGTTTAGCCTCAGTTTAAGTCTGTTTTATAAAAATAAAAATTATATACATGTATATGTATACTGTATTATTATATTATTATTATTATTATTATTATTATTATTATTATTATTATAAACAACAAAACTTTAGGGAAATTTCTTTCTGTATACTAGTACAATATAATACAGTGGTACCTTGGGATATGAACAGCTTAAAACTCGAACAATTATGTAAGTGCTTTTGTAAGTGTATTTTTGAGTTTCTGAAACGGATTAATCTAATTTACATTATTCCTTATGGGAACAAATTTGTTCCGTATTGGCACCTGAACAGCCTTCTGTAACGAATTAAGCTTGTATCCCAAGGTACCACTGTACTGCTCTACTAGTCAATGTGTGTTAATTTCTGTTGTACTGTACTTCATTTAACAATTTTTAAAATAAAATGTAATACAATACTGGCTTTTACCAATGGAGTTGGTTGAACTTTTCATTTGTATACTAGACTTGATTTGCATCATCTGTTTTTGTATTATTGTTAATAATTATTTGCATTAGCTGTTTTCTTATATTTAATATTTATTTCTACTATTTTTATTAGCTGTTCTTACATGTGAACTAAGGAAAAAAAATGGTGTCAATGGGATACTGGAATTTTTTTTTTTTTTTTTTTGCAAATAGTGGTCGAAGACTGCAACAAATTAAAAAAGGATGTAAGTGCTACAACCAATGGCGATGAAAAAAATTAACTGATGAACATTTAAAAGAAGATGGAGCACCATTAATATAACTCTGTTCCTGTAACCACATATAGATAATTACCAAGAGAGTAACTTAACTGTTCATGATGAGCTCGTAAAAATATCTACTTGAATTAAACAAAACAGTAAATAATACACCCACTGAAAGATATGATGAGGGGAAAAAGTCTTATGTATACACTTTGACAGAAAATTAAAATTAAGCACTCACATCAATCACAAATAGGAAAATTTCTAAAACAGTAAGCATCCTTTCTAAACATGTTGCTATGTTCTGTACCTCCAATAACATTACTCACTCTATGCTACTCTCTGAGTTATCCTTACCTCACTTATAATGTTGTTAATGGGGATCTACAACAGCAAATCATCTAAAACACAAAACTCAAGAAAACTCTTGATATTCAATGATTCCAAGGACACAGCTAAATATGCAGTATGTATGATAAAATGATAATTAAAATGAATTATAAAAACAAGAATGAAGGAACATTGCACAAGGCCTAGTTACCCATACTAGGCAAGTCAAATTCACACTCACTCATGGTATAAACCTTGTTAATAAATACCGACAAGTTGGTTTAGAAAGACACATAAGCAAACACTATAACATATTTATTAGAAAACGTTTCGGTCCTGGGACCTTGATGACTTCAGAAGTGATCAAGGTCCCAGGACCGAAACGTTTTCTAATAAATATGTTATAGTGTTTGCTTACGTGTCTTTCTAAACCACACTCACTCATATACCTGTCCAACCTACATTTTAAGCTGCCCATTGACTCTACAAGGAAGTTTGTTCCAGTCATCTACAACTCTTCTGCCAAACCAGTACTCCCCTATATCATTTCTAAATCTAAATTTGTCCAGCTCAAACCCACTGCTACGAGTCTTTAATTCTGCACCTGTCCAGAGTGCAAATTCAATGCCTTCAGCGTATCTTCATAACAAAGGTTTCTGATACAGGGAATCAACTTCATCATCCTTCTCTGTACATTTTCCAACACATTTATGTCGTCTGTAATACTTCGACCATAAATGAGGATATAACCTATGATATACCTACAATTAATCAAAAGAATTAATTTTTACCGAGTTCCCTATTGTATCTCATTTACATATATAGTGTAACTGGTACGGTGATACCGATAAGTTGTAGTTAAAAGATATAATGTTTCTGACCAAGATAATAATACTAAGGGAACGATTCCTTAGTAAATGTCATTATCAGTGGATGCCTCTTGAATCTACATTGGAACATGCGTATACTTAATATCCATAGGGTTTATTCGTAGGTTCCTTGCTTATAATAATTTCCTTTACATGCCTTATCGTTCACGATAAGAGCAGTCTGTTTATTGATGTCTTCTGGTCCCGATGACTGCACAGGTTTTATGCAGCTGTTGTTATTGCATCACCATGTTAGCTGGTAGTGTTGATGGTTTATAGGACCACCATAACTGACGCCGTACTGACCACTGCTTCTTGCTTGCTTGGTTGGCTCATTCAGTTTGAAGCCTATCGACTAAACAAATAAGTAAGTAAGCTTATTTAGGTAAAGGTATACAAAAGTACAATTGTCATACATAGTGCAAATCATAGGATAACTCGGAAAACTCAAACAGTGACTTACTTTCAATGAAAATTTCAAGGACCCCAGTGAAAATAAGTCACCATGTCTGATTTTGGGGGTTATCCTAGGTAATTTGCACTATGTATGATAATTGCACTTGTGTGTACCTGTGCCTAAATAAACTTACTTAAGCTTCCACTTCACATGTACACCACTAGTCCAGGATACACACCTCTCGGTGTATTTAACCTTACTTCCCGGTTTTCGGGAAAGAAATGTTGCCAGAACTGGGCGGGAATTGAGAGAGTTCATTGGCCTCCTCATCTCACATAGTAAGTGCCCATGGTTTGATTCCCGGCACAAGTAAAACTTTGGGCATGTTTCCTTACACTAACTGTCCCTGTGTTAGTCGACTGTCATGGGTCACATATGTGAGTGGCTTGGTAGACAACGCTCTCGCCTCACCGAATGTCCGTGGTTCAGTCCCCGGGCCGGGTGGAAACATTGGACATGTTTCCCTACACCTTCTGCCCCTGTTCACCTAACAGTAAGTAGGTGCCTGGGTGTTATTCGACTGGTGTGGGTCGCATCCTGGAGAGCGAAGCGTTGCCACAATAAAATGTCACACCAGTATCTGACAAACCGGGCTGTGGTTCGTACGTCAGCTTGCGTGCGGCCAGCAGTAACAGCCTGGTTGATCAGACCCTGATCCACCATGAGGCCTGGTCTCAGACCGGGCCGCGGAGGCGTTGACCCCCGAAACCCTCTCCAGGTAAACTCCAGGTAGTTGTACTGGTGTCCTTTTACTTTACATTTTGAAATCATTCTGGTGCCGAACAGGACTGGTGATAATGATGATGATGTTGACAGTCTGGCTAATGGGGTACGCGGACATACTGGGCAGTTCATTGGGGTCTGTAATCGTAAAAAGGTTAAGAATCCCTGATTTGTATGTTACATGAAAGGGTTGTCTGCCGTCGAGGCAGGAGCTGCAGTGTGTATATAGTTGCTGAACAAGGCACACACCATGTGGGTGTTTCAGGTATCAGGTGTTGTATCTTGGCTGCCAGATTTTATACCACGATGAGCAGAAATAAGTCCTGAATGATACAGCCTCGGGGCAGCGTTTTCTGATAGGGTATTTGTTGGCATTATGATCATGGTTGACCTCCTACCCTCAAGGGAGGCTTCTTGATGCCGGTAAGGTGGGCTCTTGATCGAAAGAATTGGACATGTGCTCCCCTTCCTTTGAACCTGATGGTCTCCCATTTCCCCCAAGGCGCTATATGATCCAAATGGATTCAGCAATTCTCAGGAATGATGTAGTAATAATAAGCATGGTAGAGTTGTGCTCGGCTCCTGTGTAGGGAGTGAGGTATCTTGGGCAGCATAGGTTCTAAATGTGTGTGTGTGTGTGTGTGTGTGTGTGTGTGTGTGTTTGTGTGTGTGTGTGTGTGTGTGTGTGTGTGTGTGTGTGTGTGTGTGTGTGTTAGTTAGTTACCATTTTGTCCTGTGTGTGTGTGTGTGTGTGTGGGAAACCCCTCAGGAGAGGTTCCATGATGCTGGTGAGGGGCTCTTGATCTAAGGAATTGTACCTGTGCTCCAATTCCTAGAATAAGCCTGAATGCCTTCCATTCTAAAATATTTCTTTCCGGCCATGAGATACAAGGGCTGGAAAAAAAAATATTTTAGAATCGGCAATTATCAAACATGATAAACATTCATTATATAATAATAGTTTTAGATTATTCAACCTCGATTTGTTTATAATTGAGGCCATCGTGAATAACCTGAAGCCAAATTTCTATACGAAATCTTTGGATTGTCACAAATGTTGTAGTTCCACACCAAGGAATTAGGGCGTGTTTTCCTCCTCAGCGAGTATAATTGAGTACAACTTAATGAGTACACATCAGTCAAATAATAAACCAAATTTTTCTAGTTTATTTAAAAACCAAACTCTTTATTAAATTCATTTTCACATAATATATTCATGCTGTACGAGCCCCACGGATTTAGCTCTTCCCCTAAATACATTACTCAGTACTAAAGTAATTACCATCATTATTATTGTTTTTGCTGTGATTATGATACTCTTTGTTCCCTTCGATGGATATGGGGTATGGGGTACACAGTAAACTAGCCACTTCGGCGGCAAAATCAAAATCTAATCTTCGAGGTATGCGATTTGATATCTGTGAAGGGCTTTTGATCTAGGGAACTGGAGATATCATCTGCTTCCTTGGATCAAACCTGATTGCCTCCATTTCCTTATTACCAGGGCGCTGTTTGACCCCTGTAAGTTTATTATTATTGATAATATGCCAAGTGGGCGGCGCCCACTAAGAGACCCCGCCCACCTGTAATATCATTGATTACTGCACCTCTTCTCTGGTTCGAGTATATAAATCTCCATCTTCATACTTTTGCTTCAGAGCCATCAAGGCTGAGGGACTGATCACCTCAAATAACCACCGTTTCCGGTATTTATTTTTTGGCAATGGATTGAAAAAGGCACTAGTTGGCGAAGCATATCTATCAGTGAAGATTCAAAAGTGTTACACATGTGTTTTATTCATCAGGTATAATACCTGTCGCAGCCTGGTAGCGAAACTCACGACTTCTATCTCGAAGGTCACAGGATAAATCCACAGGAGATCAAACCTACAGCGTTTCATTTACACCAACTACACAAATAATAAAAAAAAAAGAATTATAACTATCGTATCCAATCCGAGCTTATATGGTCTACGTTGTACAAGTTCCAATTGCAAATTAGCGTCCACGTTTGTTTCACAGGTTAAGTTGTGACGATCGTCCACTTTGTGATGACGACTCCAGTCGGGTTGACAGAGAAGTTGACCTGGTGGTCAGGGAGGACGGTGCCATATTCAGTATTACTGTACAGGTCCACCACCTCATAACCGCTGGGAAAGTTCAGGCCCAGTGACGCTGGGTTCACCGCCACCTTAAATAGAAGTGATTAGAGACACACTTGTTTTATTTATTAATGACCATTATAATCGTTAGTGAAAAAATAGTGATATCACTTGTTTACTGTGATCGTATTGCATGATTATCTATATGATGAGATAATTTATATTGCACGAAATGACTATAGTGTCTTGAATACTAATTAAGACTTATTGTTACCTTTATAATCCCTTTTTGTGTGAGCTACCACTCACATGATGAGCACAAAGTGCACAATAAACTAATATGTGAATTACATGTAAGTTATTTCTGCCACGTTTATGTTATTTTTTATTGCACTGACCGATATGGGGGTGCCGTCCGTGCGCTGGCTGAGCACAGCCATGGCGTAAGAATAGTTGTCTTGCTGCACCGGCGTGATGGGACGAATCCAGATCTCGATACTATTTGACTGAAGAACCAAGAAGAATTTGTCATTGGCCTTTCGTGGTATATGTGATTGTTGGTGAAGATTCAAACAATGTCCACAGACATATGTATATGACTGTTTGTGCAAAACTGAGTATGGTAACTTATTTGATACCCCTGAAAGAGGACCTTCAAGAGATTGCCTGATATTTTTTTCTTTTTCCTAATTTTCGATTTTATTTTACTCATAACTCGAGAACGCCTCATGTAATGGGCTTAAAATTTTCAACATGTGGGGGTTTCAATTTGCCATTTTTTGTCAGTCTTTTCAAAATATTTTTTTAAAGGATTTTGGAGAAATTTAAACAGAACGTAAATGACAAAAGTGGAAAAATCAAAATTTCTGTTTTTATATTTTTTTTTTAAGTTTGATGAGGGAAGACTTTCCTATTTTTGGAAAATTTTCAACATTTTCGTTAACTTTCTCACAAAAGTTCGTATGTTACTCGAGAACTCCTTATGTAGTCGGCTTCAAATTATCAGCGTTGGTTTAATGTATTTTGGGTGTCTTATGCACAATCTCACAGCCCATTCCCAAATTAGGTTTCCTTTTGCGTGCACTGAGGTAGAGGAGACTGAGCTTACTGAATACAGGGATACCTTTCTTTGATAGCGCAGTGACCAAAATACATCTAGTTTCCATTGGGGTTCTTTCCCAGGATGAATCTCGCAATAGCAGACTACCTCCTAGATACCTACAGTGTTTCCAGCGAGTTGAACATTGGTATCAGCTGAAAAGAGACTTACCCAGACGCCTTGGCTCACCTTAAAGTTAAACTCTAGTCTTTTTAGTTGTAATCCCTGTACGTAACTGAAGATGAAATTAAGACATGTGCAACACCTGGGTATCTTTATTGTAAACGTCTACAATAAAGATACCCAGATGTTTCACATGTCTTAATTTCATCTTGTCGGTATTGTATACCATTCTTGTACTGTACGTAACTATTGAAATGCAGGTCACTTCTCACGCTCAACTATTCTCTCTCAGTTATTTGTCTAATATTAAGGCTACTCGGTGTTCTCTAAGGATGTGCTACTGAACAGGTCAGTCCACTCGTCTACAACTGTACTGGGAAAGTATGCATCGCTTTTCCTGTATGGTTTCTAAATCTCAGTTTGTATAATTTGACTTTATTGCAAGTTTATAACTTTATATATAGTATTTCCTTCATAAATTTATATGACCTATGTGTACATTTCAGTCGTATCTTCCCTGATTTTACGTCATTTTGTGAGAGTATAGTTTAAGTGTTATTTATTTATCTTCGTGGAAAATATTCCTGATTCAGGTGATTAAATTTAATATCCTTTATAACAATAATGGCAACACCTAGTTACCTTCATTTTGAGGACGTTTAGCAACAAGTGACTTAATAAGTTCAGTACGTAACGTTAAATGAGGACAGTACTAGACGATGCAATCAGTCCTTCAGCCGTAACACTGATGACACTATGAAACTGAAGACAGTAAAGTGATCGTTCACTAAGTCTTGAAGATGTTCACCATCTTAGCCAGATTCATGAAGACTAAGACAGTGAACTCTTTCTTCAGTGTTGAGGGACTGATTACCTCAGAATTTACTGTCTTCAAATATTATGCTCTGTGCTGAATTAATAATGCCTCTGGCTGGCTAAAGGTGTTCAAAATAAATATATGCGGGTGTTGCACATGTGTCTAATTCATCATTAATATCCTTTCAAGAGTATTAAAAGTCTACGGTACCCCGTTGCCTGGTGGCTAAAGCTCTCGCTTCACATGGCGAGTGTCCGAGTTCGATTCCCGGCGAGGGTAGAAACATTGGGCTTGTTTCTTTACACCGGTTGTCTGTTCACCCATCAGTAATAATGGGTACCTGGGTGTTAGTCGACTGGTGTGGGTCGCATCCTGGGACAAAACTGACCTAATTTGCCTGAAATACTCTGCATAACAAGCGACTTTCTATACAGTAGTATGTCACTGATGTCAGCTAGGACTGTATACCTTGTACATGTACTTGTAGAAATAAAGATATTATTATTATTATTATTATTATTATTATTATTATTATTATTATTATTATTATATTATTACTCTTGAACTACATAAATGATTCTTCTTGGCATAAAGTAAAATATTGACTGTATTACGAACACTTATACACTGTTACGTTGGTCTTAAGTTACTACTGACCAAAACACTGTTCTTGCGTCATTATGACTGACCAAACACCACACAAGTTGTGAAGATAAGACACACTGCAGAACAGTTTTAGTTGAGAGGAATATCAGCCTGTGGTGAGACTTTAACTGCCACTGGTTGAGATGTAACAATGTCAGTTCGTAATTTATGTTATTTCCCGGCAATGGTGGTGGTAAACTATTAGGAAAAACAGAACGAAACATTGCCCCAAATAAAAGCTTATTCAGCAGCGTGTCTTTTTTTTCGTCTATTGTCAGTAGTGTAACATTTAGTTCACATTATAAATGAATAGAACGTGTGTCTTACTTGGAGAGGATTAGTATAAAATGCGGATATGATGGATAAATACACAAAATGTAGTGAACATTAAAATGGTATAAAATACCGACAGGTTGTTAGGTAAGACACATATGCAACAGTTAGGTATCTTTATTGTGAAACGTTTCGCCTACACAGTAGGCTTCTTCAGTCAAGTACAGAAAAGTTGATAGAAGCAGAAGATACTTGAAGACGATGTAATCAGTCCATCACCCTTAAAGTTTTGAGGTGGTCAGTCCCTCAGTCTGGAGAAGAGCATTGTTCCATAGTATGAAACAATATGGAGTATATTGTTTCATACTATGGAACAATGCTCTTCTCCAGACTGAGGGACTGACCACCTCAAAACTTTAAGGGTGATGGACTGATTACATCGTCTTCAAGTATCTTCTGCTTCTATCAACTTTTCTGTACTTGACTGAAGAAGCCTACTGTGTAGGCGAAACTTTTCATAATAAAGATACCTAACTGTTGCATATGTGTCTTACCACAAAATGTAGTGTTACTGCGATCCTTTGGTAACAACGTTTCGCCCATACAGTGAGCTTTATATCTGTTTGAGGTATGTTAAACCCCATTATGTGGGCGAAACCTCATCAATAAATGATCGCATGAGACTACATTTGTTTCATCCAGAGTCTTACTTATAAACACTTGGATCCTACGAAGGCGTTGTTGAAGCCTCTTCACAGGTATGGAAATACTGTCTTACCTTCTGCACCCTGGTTCCCTGTATACCCAGTTCGTCCTGATTGACATCGATGAGCGCCTGATTCTGGAGGATGGCCTTGAACTCTGAATGCATGGTCCTCAGGTCCACTGACATGAGAAGCGGCGAGGCCATGATCGCCCACATAGCCATCTGTGCCTTGGACTGCTCGTAGCTCAGGCCGAAGTTCCCGATGATCAGCTGTGGAAGATCTTTAGATGTTTAACTGTCGTATATTATTATATGGCTAACGTTGGAGTATGTTTAGTTGAATAGTTGCACAATACTTTCAGATTTAGGTTAAGGGAAGGGAAAGAATGTGCTTTTTGTTCTACCACATCATTGACGTTTACTGTACTCTTATACCCAAATAACCCGCACATAGAAGAGAGGAGCTTACGACGACGTTTCGGTCCGACTTGGACCATTTACAAAGTCACACTGTATCTTATTTCTGTTCATTTCAAAGTTTCAGGTCACCTCTGCATATTATAACGTGTACAAGAATCCGAAATAAATACAAATTTATTGTAAATGCAATTCCCTAGAGTGAGCATTCCTAATGTTCGGGGTATTATTATTATTATTATTATTATTATTATTATTATTATTATTATTATTATTATTCAATTTATACCGCCTATGCGTCTAGTTTGTTTTGTTTTTCATCCCTTCGTGGGGGATTCCTTGATGCTGGTTAGTGGATCTTGTTCCAGGGAATGGGAGTCAATCTTCTATTTTTTGGGTCATATCTGATTGCCTTCCATTCTCTAGGAGCTGTATGAAACGTACGGATGTAGCGTTTCCTTGAGAATGCAATAATATTAATGTTGTTTCGCATATTCTGGTCGTTCCAGTGACACCTACCATATCGGGGTCGTTCCAGTGTCCCGGTCCAGCGTTAGGGACAATGTCGTCCTGGTTGTCGCCGTAGTAATTGATGATAGAGGAGACGGAGTCCCATGAGTCATCGATGTCGTCGAAGTTCCTCCATAAGTTACAAGTCTCAATGATCGCCGTCCAGTTTGGCTGTGTGGGAGTGAACGTTTAGACGCCAAACACCTGAGAACAAGGCTCACACGGCTCAAGCCGTTGTATCCCCTAAATACCAACATCATATCGTGGGCTTTATAATTTAACCCTTGGCTGCCCTGATACTAATGAATGGCTCTAAAGCCAAGGGATTTGGACCATCCTTCCCTTTAGTTCAAGACTCATTACCTCCAATTTTCCTGGAGCTATATAACCCCTATATGAATTTAGCGCTTCCGCGTGTTATAGTATTAGGCGCGTGTGTTTGAGAGAGGTAAAGGGTTGGTGAGTGTCAGAGAGAGGTACATAAGTGAATGGGTGTTTGCGAAGGTACATGGGTATGTAAGGGCATTTGAAGGGTACAGGGATCTAAAAAAGTGTTTGACAGAGGTAAATGGGTGTGTGAGAGTGATTGAGAGAAATATGATAGTCTCTGAAAGAGGTCCAGGGGCATGTAACTATTTGAGACACAAAGCTCACGAGAGTGCAGGTCTCACCACCATGCCTGAAGCCAGCTGGTAGTCTGGCCAAGAGCAGGAGTACACCATGGGTCGACCAGTATTGTTGAGGAAGGCACCAAACTCAGGGTAACCTGTCACAAACCAACAACAATAGTTATTCTCAGTCTCGTAACTGAGTTATTAAACGAATAGCTAAAATATAAATTATGTAAGTTGATAAACAGATCGGTCTAACTTAAATAAAAAATGCTTAGATATATAATGTTCTGTTTATTTTGTTTATTATTATTATTATTATTATTATTCGTTAAAATTTTTGATGGGTCATTATCTATCTCTAAGTCTTTTACCATTAATTTTTATCTCATCCAAAGGGCCAGCACTTTTGTCCCTACCCATGTCATTAAATCATCTACTCCCACCCCTACCTATGTCCCAAAGGTGCTGTACCTATGTCCATGTCTTTGGGGTCTGTGTAGCAGCCGTCTAACTTGACATAATCGACTCCCCACTCAGCAAAGGTGTTGGCATCGGTCTCCAGGTGGCCCTCGATGCCTGGGTACCCGGCGCAGGTGTGAGTACCAAAGTCCTCGTAGATGCCAAACCTAAGTCCCCGCTCGTGCATCTGAAAGATTGAGACTTATTTGGGAAAAGAATGCGGGAAAAAGAAAGAATCTTGCCTGATGTAATATGATCAGCAAACCATCTTGCATGATGGAATATGGCCTAGAAACCAGGAATATGGCCTGGAAACTATTGCTCATGGTGGAACATGGCCAGGAAACTACCCTGTATAATGGAATATGTCCAGAAAGCCATCCTGCATGATAGAATATGGTCAGGAAACTATCCTGCATGATGTAATGTGACCAGAAAGTCATCCTGAATGATGGCCTATGGCCAGGAAACTGCAGTGTATGTTGTGTTAAGTAAATCTAATTGTTATTATAGCTTCGTAAAATAACATAGATGAGCTGCACCATGTGGTGCAAAAGGGTAGCAGTGAGGCAAATGGTAGCAGTGAGACAAAAGGGTAGCAGTGAGGCAAAATGGTAGCAGTGAGACAAAATGGTAGCAGTGAGAGCAAAATGGTAGCAGTGAGACAAAAGGGTAGCAGTGAGACAAAATGGTAGCAGTGAGACAAAAGGGTAGCAGTGAGGCAAAATGGTAGCAGTGAGACAAAAGGGTAGCAGTGAGGCAAAAGGGTAGCAGTGAGGCAAAAGGGTAGCAGTGAGACAAAATGGTAGCAGTGAGACAAAAGGGTAGCAGTGAGGCAAAAGGGTAGCAGTGAGCAAAAGGGTAGCAGTGAGGCAAAAGTGTAGCAGTGAGACAAAAGGGTAGCAGTGAGACAAAAGTGTAGCAGTGAGACAAAAGTGGTAGCAGTGAGACAAAAGGTAGCAGTGAGACAAAAGGTAGCAGTGAGACAAAAGGTAGCAGTGAGACAAAAGTGTAGCAGTGAGGCAAAAGGGTAGCAGTGAGACAAAGGGACTGCAGTGAGACAAAAGTGTCAGTGAGACAAAAGTGTAGCAGTGAGACAAAAGTGTAGCAGTGAGACAAAAGGGTAGCAGTGAGACAAAAGTGTAGCAGTGAGACAAAAGTGTAGCAGTGAGACAAAAGGGTAGCAGTGAGACAAAGGGATAGCAGTGAGCAAAAGTGTAAGTGAGACGAAAGTGTAGCAGTGAGACGAAAAGGGTAGCAGTGAGACGAAAGGGTAGCAGTGAGACGAAAGGGTAGCAGTGAGACGAAAGTGTAGCAGTGAGACGAAAGGGTAGCAGTGAGACGAAAAGTGTAGCAGTGAGACGAAAGTGTAGCAGTGAGACAAAAGGTAGCAGTGAGACGAAAGTGTAGCAGTGAGACAAAAGGGTAGCAGTGAGACGAAAGGGTAGCAGTGAGACAAAAGGGTAGCAGTGAGACGAAAAGGGTAGCAGTGAGACAAAGGGTAGCAGTGAGACAAAGGTAGCAGTGAGACAAAAGGGTAGCAGTGAGACGAAAGGGTAGCAGTGAGACAAAGGGTAGCAGTGAGACAAAAGGTAGCAGTGAGACAAAGGGTAGCAGTGAGACGAAAGGGTAGCAGTGAGACAAAAGGGTAGCAGTGAGACGAAAGGTGCGTAAAGCAGTGAGTACGAAAGGCTGAGCATGGACAGACAATAGTGGTAGCAGTGTGACGTATGTGGTATTGCAGTGAGACGAAAGGGTTGACAGTCAATACAGGCTGTGAGGTTGAAAGCCAATATTGAGACATAATAACATATGTGTAAATCACCTAGAATAACCCAAAAAGTCAAAGTTATTTATTTCCACTGGGATCCTTGATTTATTTTAATTGGCAGAGACAACTGAAATAAATCAAAGATCCCAATGGAAAATAAATAACTTTGTCTGCCGTTTTGGGTTAATCTAGGTGATTTACACATGTTACTATGCATGATAATTGTACTTATGTAAACCTGTACCTAAATAATCGATGTATGACCCTTGTAGGTTTAGCGTTTCTCTTTTTATTATAATAATAATGTATGTAAATAAACATACCGACGCATGACGTGGACAAAAGGACACTTGCGTACAGCCTGGGTTATTTTTTAAAGAAAACGTTCCACCAGGAGTGGCTTCATCAGTCCAGTACTGTACACAAGTGTCCTCTTCCAGAGTTGGTCGGTAGAGAGACAGCCACTAACATAGTCAGCGAGGGCCTTGATGCCGGAGGGAAATCGCTTGGGGTCTGGCTGCAGTTTATCGTCCGCGTCTCTTTCTGTGTCCAGCCAGCAGTCGTCGAGGCAGACGATATCGTAGCCAAGGTCACGGTAACCCTCGCTTACCATCAGGTCGGCCATCGCCTTGAACAACGACTCACTGCCAAGGAGAGTGAGCTTAGTGCAGGAGCAACTACATATACAGGCGTGGATGCAAGTATGTACATAGTTGCAAGTGCAAGTTCGTGCACAGGCGCTGGTGCAGATAAAAGATTTTGTTCAGATATTAACCTGGATGGATAGTAACCCAGTATAACAAAATAAAGTCTGGATGACATCTCGGATTATTTGTCTTATTTTCAATGGGATACCTTAATCTTCTTCCCCAATGTAAATAAGTCTGACTTTTATGGGTTATCTTCGTAAATTTACACATGTTACTATGTATGATAATTGTGTAACGTAAATAAATTTACTTACGGCGCACACAAGTTGCCTAAAACCCAAGTATCTCTTTATTGCTAACTGAACACCTGCAGCAGGTGTAAGTATTGCTAACTGAACACCTGCAGCAGGTGTAAGTATTGCTAACTGAACACCTGCAGCAGGTGTAAGTATTGCTAACTGAACACCTGCAACAGGTGTAAGGAAACGTGCTTTCTTCTAGCAGTAATTAAAAAAATGTGATGGAAGGTGCAAACTGGTGAACACTCGTTGCATGAACGAATGTTCTTCCTTAAGGTATTCATGCCAATCTTGATGTCTTTAAGGAAGAATTCACATACTACTCTATGTTTGGAGTAAGACACATGTGCAACGTCTGGGTATCTTTATTCTGAAAACGTTTCGCCAACCTGTCATTTTATCATTTCAATACAGCAGTCCGTCAGCCTAGATGAGGGACTGAATTGATAAAGCCATTGGTTGGCGAAACCTCTTCAGGATTAAGATATCCAGGTTCATCAGTTTGTCGTTTTTGTATTCAATTAATGTTACGATATCCTGAGTTTTATTTAAGTGTGATGACTTTGCACTTGCTGGGGTTAAACTCCAGGCTTGCAGCCTGTCCAGATCTCCTTGTAGGCTTACCCGATCCTCTCCCACTTGTATCCTTATTAGTTTCACATCGTCTGCAAACAAGGACATCTCTGAATCTATCCCTTCTGTCATGTCATTCACACATATACTAGAAACAGCATCAGACCTAGGATTGACCCTTGTGGAACCCCGCTTGATAAATTCACCCACTGACACCTCGTCACGTTTCCTTCCTGTCAGGTATCCCCTGATCAACTGCAGTGTTTTCCCTGCTATTCCTGCCTGCATCTCTAACTTTTCAACCAGTCTCTTGGTCTACTCACTCTCTCTCACACTCTCTCACACTCTCACACTCTCTCACACTCTCTCACACTCTCTCACTCTCTCTCACTCTCTCTCACTCTCTCTCTCTCTCTCTCTCTCTCTCTCTCTCTCTCTCTCTCTCTCTCTCCTTCTCTCTCTCTCTCTCTCTCTCTCTCTCTCTCTCTCTCTCTCTCTCTCTCTCCTGTCTTAAATCTGTTACCTTATCGTAGAACTCCAGTAGGTTTGTGATGCAGGATTTTCCTTCCCTGAAGCCGTGCTGGTTGTCATATACAAGCCTGTTCCTTTCTAAGTGCTCCACCACTTTTCTCTCTAATTTTACATATTATACATATCAGCGACGTAGGTCTGAAGTTTAGTGCTGCCTGTGTCTCCCTGAAATTTGGGACTTCGTTTGCTGTCTTCCAAACCTCAGGCAGTTGCCCCTGTTTCAATAAATTTATTGAAGATTATTGTTAGTGGCACACACAGTGCATCTACTCACTCTTTCAGGACCCACGGAGAGATATTATCTGGCCCCACCGCCTTCGAGGTACCTAGCTCACCTAGCAGTTTCTTCGCCTCCTCGGTTGTGAGCAGTGTGTCCAACACTTGCTGATGCACTCTACTCCCTCGGTTTGCTGGAAGCCTCTCTGTCTCCATTGTGAATATCTTCCTAAATCTTGTGCTGAACTCTTGACATACATCCTGGTCTCTCCCTGTGAACTCTCCTTCCTTCCTCAGCCTGATCACCTGGTCCTTGACTGTTGTGATTGTATAACAACTTTGTGTGTGTGTGTGTACTCAGTTGTATTCACATAGTTGTGGTTGCAGGGGTCTAGTCATAGCTCCTGGCCCCGTCTCTTCACTGGCCGCTACTGAGTCACTCTTCCTGCACCATGAGCTTTATCATACCTCTGCCTAAACCTACGAATGGATCCTCCCTCCATTATATGGCTTCCCAAACTATTCCACTTCCTGACTACTCTGTGACTGAAGAAATACTTCCTAACATCCCTGTGATTCATCTGTGTGTTCAGTTTCCAACTGTGTCCCCTTGTTGCTGTGTCCCATCTCTGGAACACTCTGTCTCTGTCCATCTTGTCAATTCCTCTCAGTATTTTATATGTCGTCCCCCCAATCTCTCCTGTCCTCCAGTGTCGTCAGGTCGATTTTCCTTAACCTATCGTCGAAGGACATACCCCTTAGCTCTGGGACTAGTCTTGTTGCAAACCTTTGCACTTTCTCTAGTTTCTTTACGTGCTTGGCTAGGTGTGGGTTCCAAACTGGTGCCGCATACTCCAATATGGGTCTAACGTGCACAGTGTACAGGGTTCTGAACGGTTCCTTATTAAGATGGCGAAATGCTGTTCTTAGGTTTGCTAGGCGCCCATATGCTGCAGCAGTTATTTGGTTGATGTGCGCCTCAGGAGATGTGCCTGGTGTTATACTCACCCCAAGATCTTGGGGTGAGTATAACACCAAAGAACAGCATTCCGCCATCTTAATAAGGAATCGTTCAGAACCCTGTACACTGTGTACGTTAGGCCCATATTGGAGTATGCGGCACCAGTTTGGAACCCACACCTAGCCAAGCACGTAAAGAAACTAGAGAAAGTGCAAAGGTTTGCAACAAGTCTAGTCCCAGTGTGTGTGTGTGTGTGTGTGTGTGTGTGTGTGTGTGTGTGTGTGTGTGGTGTGTGTGTGTGTGTGTGTGCGTGCGTGTGTGTGTGTGTGTGTTATATATGTGTGTGTGTGTTGTGTGTGTGTGTGTGTGTGTGTGTGTGTGTGTGTGTGTGTGTGTGTGTGTGTGTGTGTGTGTGTGTGTGTGTGTGAAGTGAAGACACCTGCAGCTTACCTGATACAGTTATCAGGGTCGTTATCACAGTCAGTGTTGCACCTGAATCTCTCCCAGGCGAGCCAGCCCATGGGCGGGGTCCTAGCCAATCCGTTCTCCAGCCCCACCACCACGCCCACCATCACCACACCCACCACGCCCATCAGAGCCTTCATCCTGCAACACAGAAATATTAATGCCACTAGTTGCAACATCTTATGATTACTCAAGAAGAACTTTATTGAGACAATGTTTCGCCCAAGAAGAACTCTAATTAACACATGATGACCTGGCGAGCTGAATGTATCTCACTGTTTCTCTTTCCGTAAACACTGAGATGTGTGTCTCAGTACACATACGCGGAGAGTTGTATGTCTTTCAGAATATATGTCTGGGTGTACGTACATCAAAAGATGTATATCTCTCAGCGCACTTGACTAAGAACTTGCTTTCGTATCTGATTGTAGTAAATAATGTATACACATGTATGATTACCTATAATCACACACACAACAGATACACAGTCACCAAAAATAAAGACCTATAACCAACTAAAATTAAACGTAATGAATATATAATCACCTGAGAGAGTATGGGACTCGAGGAGGTACTAATGAGTGTCTTAGTGCCACAGTGTATATATAGGTGAGCGAGGGCCAGGCAGTGCCAATGACCTACACCTGGGAAGCTACAGTTGGTGCGGGGAAGCTGCACCTGGTGTGTCCAAGGACCTTCACCTGTTGTTGCTATGGCACACACACTGAGACATTGACTTCTGATTGGACCAGACTATCAAGTAGCGGGATGAATTGTAAAGTAAAAGGACACAAGTGCAACTAATGTGACATTTATTGTGGCAACGTTTTATCAATGGCTTGATAAAGCTCCTGGAGAGCGAAACGTTGCCACAATAAATGTCACATTAGTTGCACTTGTGTCCTTTTACTTTACATATTGTCGGTAATTCTACCAACTTTATTACACGGGATGAATTGTAAAGGACCTGCCTAGTATGGGCCAACAGGCCTGCTGCAGAGATCCTCCTTTCTTATGTTCTTAAGATACCCAGATGTTGCACATGTGTCTTAATTTCATCTTGTCGGTATTGTATACCATTCTTGTACAAAATAAGCCTTATTCTAAATAAAATTAACTAATGGAGAAAAAGTAGATTATAAAAATTGTACATTTATTCATGAGACACAAGATACATACATGTTAACTGTTAAAAGTTCACCTCGGTTTTTCAACCTTGACTTAAGATGCCACAGTCCTGGTGGGTTTCCTGGGCCGAGGAGGGTCTGTAATCTTGCTGGACAGAAATTTCGACATCTATACATTAAAGTCTGATTAATTTAAATTTCTGGAGCCTTTGCTGACTACTTGTATGTTTGTACATTTTTTTCTTTGGCAGTTCTATTTTGCTGTCGTCTTGAAGAATGTTCAGAAGAGAAACTGGATGACACTTTGATTTTGTTTGATTTTCTGACAGCAGAGAACAGGGAAGAACTCTCTGAGGAACTGGGACATTTGATTTTACGTGATGCTTCTTTAATGGATGTTGATGCTGCGCCACAGTAGCATACAGATTTCTTTCTGTATGACAGTTATTGGTAGATGGGCAGCTGGATATACCTTTATTTTCAAGGACCGACAGTATGTCAAGCATATTGGAGAGTTGTGTACGAATGGTATATAATACCGACAAGATGAGAGTAAGACACATGTGCAACATCTGGGTATCTTTATTGTAGACGTTTCGCCATCCAGTGGCTTTATCAATACAAATTCCAGGACATAACTTGAAGACAGTAGAACTATGTACAGAAGATGAGGTAATCAGTCCCTCAACCTAGGAGTAGGTGCGAACAGCACCATAGTCGTGGAGATTCTGAAGCAGAAGAAAGAATCCTGGCGCTTATATAGTAACGTCAGGTGAAGCAGACGAGGGCAAATTCACTGGTGGGCGGGATTCCCCAGTGGAAGTAGGTCCTTCCCAAAGAGATGGGTTGTAGTAGTAGTTGTCGTAGTTGTGAAGGTTATGTACATGTCCTCAGAATTAAGATTCCATGATGCTGCAGTGTCTGACAAGTTGTGTACGAATGGTATATAATACCGACAAGATGAGAGTAAGACACATGTGCAACATCTGGGTATCTTTATTGTAGACGTTTCGCCATCCAGTGGCTTTATCAATACAAATTCCAGGACATAACTTGAAGACAGTAGAACTATGTACAGAAGATGAGGTAATCAGTCCCTCAACCTAGGAGTAGGTGCGAACAGCACCATAGTCGTGGAGATTCTGAAGCAGAAGAAAGAATCCTGGCGCTTATATAGTAACGTCAGGTGAAGCAGACGAGGGCAAATTCACTGGTGGGCGGGATTCCCCAGTGGAAGTAGGTCCTTCCCAAAGAGATGGGTTGTAGTAGTAGTTGTCGTAGTTGTGAAGGTTATGTACATGTCCTCAGAATTAAGATTCCATGATGCTGCAGTGTCTGACAAGTTGTGTACGAATGGTATATAATACCGACAAGATGAGAGTAAGACACATGTGCAACATCTGGGTATCTTTATTGTAGACGTTTCGCCATCCAGTGGCTTTATCAATACAAATTCCAGGACATAACTTGAAGACAGTAGAACTATGTACAGAAGATGAGGTAATCAGTCCCTCAACCTAGGAGTAGGTGCGAACAGCACCATAGTCGTGGAGATTCTGAAGCAGAAGAAAGAATCCTGGCGCTTATATAGTAACGTCAGGTGAAGCAGACGAGGGCAAATTCACTGGTGGGCGGGATTCCCCAGTGGAAGTAGGTCCTTCCAAAGAGATGGGTTGTAGTAGTAGTTGTCGTAGTTTGAAGGTTATGTACATGTCCTCAGAATTAAGATTCCATGATGCTGCAGTGTCTGACAAGTTGTGTACGAATGGTATATAATACCGACAAGATGAGAGTAAGACACATGTGCAACATCTGGGTATCTTTATTGTAGACGTTTCGCCATCCAGTGGCTTTATCAATACAAATTCCAGGACATAACTTGAAGACAGTAGAACTATGTACAGAAGATGAGGTAATCAGTCCCTCAACCTAGGAGTAGGTGCGAACAGCACCATAGTCGTGGAGATTCTGAAGCAGAAGAAAGAATCCTGGCGCTTATATAGTAACGTCAGGTGAAGCAGACGAGGGCAAATTCACTGGTGGGCGGGATTCCCCAGTGGAAGTAGGTCCTTCCCAAAGAGATGGGTTGTAGTAGTAGTTGTCGTAGTTGTGAAGGTTATGTACATGTCCTCAGAATTAAGATTCCATGAGGACATGTACATAACCTTCACAACTACGACAACTACTACTACAACCCATCTCTTTGGGAAGGACCTACTTCCACTGGGGAATCCCGCCCACCAGTGAATTTGCCCTCGTCTGCTTCACCTGACGTTACTATATAAGCGCCAGGATTCTTTCTTCTGCTTCAGAATCTCCACGACTATGGTGCTGTTCGCACCTACTCCTAGGTTGAGGGACTGATTACCTCATCTTCTGTACATAGTTCTACTGTCTTCAAGTTATGTCCTGGAATTTGTATTGATAAAGCCACTGGATGGCGAAACGTCTACATAAAGATACCCAGATGTTGCACATGTGTCTTACTCTCATCTTGTCGGTATTATATACCATTCGTACACAACTTGTCAGACACTGCAGCATCATGGAATCTTAATTCTGAGGACATGTACATAACCTTCACAACTACGACAACTACTACTACAACCCATCTCTTTGGGAAGGACCTACTTCCACTGGGGAATCCCGCCCACCAGTGAATTTGCCCTCGTCTGCTTCACCTGACGTTACTATATAAGCGCCAGGATTCTTTCTTCTGCTTCAGAATCTCCACGACTATGGTGCTGTTCGCACCTACTCCTAGGTTGAGGGACTGATTACCTCATCTTCTGTACATAGTTCTACTGTCTTCAAGTTATGTCCTGGAATTTGTATTGATAAAGCCACTGGATGGCGAAACGTCTACAATAAAGATACCCAGATGTTGCACATGTGTCTTACTCTCATCTTGTCGGTATTATATACCATTCGTACACAACTTGTCAGACACTGCAGCATCATGGAATCTTAATTCTGAGGACATGTACATAACCTTCACAACTACGACAACTACTACTACAACCATCTCTTTGGGAAGGACCTACTTCCATGGGAATCCCGCCCACCAGTGAATTTGCCCTCGTCTGCTTCACCTGACGTTACTATATAAGCGCCAGGATTCTTTCTTCTGCTTCAGAATCTCCACGACTATGGTGCTGTTCGCACCTACTCCTAGGTTGAGGGACTGATTACCTCATCTTCTGTACATAGTTCTACTGTCTTCAAGTTATGTCCTGGAATTTGTATTGATAAAGCCACTGGATGGCGAAACGTCTACAATAAAGATACCCAGATGTTGCACATGTGTCTTACTCTCATATTGGAGAGAAGAGGCCTCTGCATGGGATCCCTCTTCATACATTGATTTACGATTTGTGATATTTCTGAAGGCATCCCGTCTTTGCAATTTGAAAAGATTAGTTTTAAAATAATTGCATAACTATAAACATCGCCGGCAAAGGTACTTTTTCTACCTTGACAAATCTCTGGGCACATCCAGTACTGCTTTGAAAAATCGTAACTTATATTAAGGTTCAAATTTCCACCATTATAACATGCCATCCCATAATCGATGATTGAAACTTTGGGTGCACCTGTTGAATGTGAGTTATCAATCATAACGTTTTGGATATGTAAGTCATTATGCACAACACCTGCCCGTTGTAACTCCATTAGCTTCTCTCCAACTAAAACACCAAGTCTGAGAAGATAGGAAGGCGAAGAGTGTTCTCTAATACGAAGAAGATACGACTTGAGTGTTTCACTTCCAGCATAAGTGAAAACTAGAGTTGGTGGATCTTCACACTCCCCCAGTATTCTTGGGGCTCCCCCGGCTCCGTTTAAATAAAGCGGAATTTCTTTTTCTTTTTTAAAAGTGACTATTTTTTCCTTTGGTTTAACAACCTTGATGACTGCTAGAGGATGCTTACGGCTCCAACTAATTCGGCGGACGACACCATGGGTGCCTTCCCCAAGTGGTGCACCAGAATGGAGGCAGCTGTCCACCTCCTTCCTGCAGATAACTGTTATACCTTCCATTGTAGCTGAGATTACTTCCAGCGCTTACATACACAGCAATATAGTTGGTTTGTAAGTTATGACACGCTGCTATATATATACACACAGTCCTCCCCTTGACGTATGTCACTGTTGTAAAGTGGTCTTGTCAGGTGCTATACGAGGGCCTCTGAGTCAAGCTTACAGACCTGTACTAGACAAGACCTGGAGAGCGAAACGTTGCCACAATAAAATGTCACATTAGTTGCACTTTACATATTGATAAATTAGACACATGTGCAACTCTTGGGTATCTTTATTGAGGAAACGTTTCGCCACACAGTGGCTTCATCAGTTCCATACAAAGGCGAATCATGAAGAACAGGAGGAATTGAGGTAAATCAGTCCCTCAACCTTGAAGTCGATGTGTCAGCCATCAATCTTGAATAGAAGACAAATAGGTTATTCTAGGATAGGAATACCTATTCAATTGAATAGGTATTCATTCAAG